AGAGGAAAACTCAATGGGAAGCTCTCATGCTGAAAAACACTAATAAAAGGAAGTTAAAGCTCAATTTTAAGGCTGCTAGACATCTGTGTGAACTATTTTTTCAGAGGACAAAGACCAACTATTTCCTGCCACTAAAGGTTTGGAAGAGAACAAGCTTTAGCAGCAGAAAAAGGGAGATGCAATTGGCCCCGCTGTTCTCAGCGCACCTGGTAATTACGGGGATGGTGGTTTGCTTTTCTGCCACCCACCCCACCTAAAATACCACCACTGGCAGTCACCGGGAGCGAGCATGAGTCCAGCTTCACCATTTCTGGAAAACGACCCATTTTCTCTGCTCAAGCCTCTTAGCATCCAGCATGACATAACCAAAGAGCTTTGTGCTCATTGTCCTCACAAACCATCCCTCTCCTTGTCCTTTGAAGACAAGACAACGCATCCAGCAGCTCACTGAGAGCTAGCGGCATTTTTCCCTTTTTCCTTGGAGTTTGTCCCCAAAGAGGAGATCACGTCAGACAGTTCAGTCACTGCTGTGTATGTGAAACTGCTGGTTGTTTTCCTGCCAGCATGCGTGAGAACATGAGGTCTTCTCCCGGCCGGTGGGAGAGCTCAAGGTCTTCATTAAGAGCAGTACATACAGTTAGCACCATACGACAATTTTAAGTATCTTGGTGATTTTCTATGCCAGCCATTGCTGCTGCTCTTATATGTACAACCTAATTACCACAAAGTGGTATCTAACTTGCCGTTTTGACCTTTTTGCTCCAAGATGAGTCCAGCTGACCACAGGTGGCTCAGGGGAGGAAGGTGGACCCTGGCCTGCAGGTCTTTCCTGGGCAATTATTTCCAAGCCAACTGCAATGCACTGTGACGGCATCTCATCAGCGTAGACACCTCGGGAGGCTTTAAATGCTCACAGACCTCTCTTGAAGAACCATCACTGGCCTGGCCTCGGGGAAACCACGGGTTAAACCTGTAGAGTGTGGGAGCAGCCATGGGGCTGGGGCAGCTCCTCCACCACCCCAAGGCTGTCATCCATCGAGGCTCAGCAACAGCTTGCGTGAAGACTGTATTTGGAGGGCCACCACCACAATGGGTGCTACTGAGGGGGTCAGAGGTCCCACCACCAAGATGGGTGATACTGAGGGGGTCCCACCACCAGGATGGAGGGTGCTGAGGGGACACCAGCCCTGGTCGTGGGCATCCTTCCGGCACCTCCTGCCCGTCCTGCCCGTGCCATACCTGGAGCATCAGTGACATCTGCTGCTGTCTCTGGGCATCGACGCCGAACCCGCCACGCAGCCGCCCTCCACGGCTCGGCTCTGTCCCCACGGGCCCTCTCTGGGTACCCGGAGGGTGCGGATGTCCCCGGAGAGGCGAGGGCACCACCCATGTCCCCCGGTCCAGTGCTGGGGCACAGCCCTCGTGGAACCATCGCCCGCTGCCGTCCCAGGGGCTCCCACCACCCCAGCGTGCCCTTTCCTGGGGTCAGCACCTGATGATCTGCTAGAAATTGAGCCTAAAAATGCCAAAATAAAAAAAAAAAAAAAGGAGAAAAATTTTGCTTGGGTAGTGCAGCGGCTGGAGGGGGTGTTCTCGTGCAGTGGTGCAACAGGAGCTGCAGCTACATGGGGAAACTGGGGCGTGAAGAAGGGCACCAGGAGGTTCATTTCTCGTGGGGTGCGTTTGCTTTTCGAGGGGACCTGCAGAAGTGCCAGAGCAAAGCAGCAACTGCCGCCACACGTGCTGTGGTCTTCCCCGGCAGCATGCACCCATCACATTTGCACCCAACGAGGCACAAAGCGAGCAGGAGCCCACGGATGTCTTGGCTGTGTACAAAGGATCGATTCCCATGGTGCACCCAGGATTTTAACCGCCCCAACACTCACATCATCCCCACTACCTCCCGGGCTGCAGGAGAGCAGAGCCAAGCAGGGCTGGGCCCTCTCCCTGCAGAGAAGAGGCTGCGCCCTGCCATCCCAAACTCCTCCTCAACCAAACATAACTTCCCAGCACTCCCAAGCCCCCCACAAATTCCCACAACCAGGACAACCGCTCACCCCTACCACCCCACGCTGGGGTTTGTATTCCCACAGGGAATGAAAGAAGCCAAAAAACATCATGGTTTAGGTTTTTTTTTTCTTTTCCAATAGTCTCACTTTATTAGATACCACATCAAGAGAAGATGTTGTGCTGCATGCAGCGGAAGACTGGAGTATTTCTAGTTCCTGTGTAACATTTTCTTTTTCTCTTAATAGTTGTAAACTGGTATTTTGCTGTAAAATCACTGCATGCAAGTTTGAATGCAAACAGCAGTAGAAGAGGCTTTTTTCTTTTTTTTTGCACCATTCCCAATCCACATGTGCATGCTTTATTTACAACAAAAAGAAGTCATTCAGGGCAGAAATTACCATCAGAAAAACTGAGAAGAGGGTGGCAAACAGAGACGAGGACTACAATACTGAGAAGGGGGATTGGCAAGTTGCACTTTATTTTTATGGGTGCAAAGAGATGATTTGAGTATCATTTGTCTGAAGGGAAAGCAGGCTGAGCAGAGAATGTCAATACAGGACATGGGTAAAGGCAACCTTAATTTAATTGTTCTGCACATACAAAGGAGGCTGGGCTGCTGCAGGTCTGGAATAAATTAAAGAATTGCTCAGATGTATTTTTTTTTTCTTTTTTTTCCTTAAAGGTAATTTCATCCCCAGCCACACATTTCCCCAGCACAGCTCCGAAGTGCACTGTGCCCAACTGCTGCTCCCAGAGGTACAGGCAAGGACCATGCAGAAATTTTAGGCAGGTCCATCACTCTGGAAGGGATGACGGCAGCACCCTACAGCCAAATCACCTCTGCCCAGAGCAGCGAGTGCCCTGGCACAGCTGCAGGAGGCAGTGCCGAACACAGAGGGAAACAATCCAAAAGAACTGGGTTGTTTCAGCCTGGGTCCTCCGCACAGCCCGCGCTGAGGGCAGCGTGGCTGAGGGTCTCTGGGACGTTGCACTTACTGGTGCAGAGTCGAGAACCGCATGATAGGGAGGGGAAAGCCATTTCTGCAGTGTCCTCTCCCATTACACTCTTCTGTGCATCATGCCCCGAGCAGCTCTCACCTCAGCAGCCACAGGACAGAGTCTGGGGTGATGGAAGAGCTGCCCCAGCTCGGGGCTGAATGGAGCAGAGGATGCCCACGCTGGTTTAGGTTTGCTTTCCCCATCCATCCACGGTCCAAGAGTGTCTCCTGGTGGAGAGCTGGGTAGAACATGCTGGTAGCACCCAGCCGGGGATGGGGGGGAAAGCAGACCTCCGTGGGAGTGCAAGCCCTGAGCTGGGCCGGGGAAAGGCTGCTCTGCAGCAGCAGCATTGCTCAGCACGCAGAGGGGTTAGCATCACGCAGCGACAGCATCGCTCAGCACGCAGCCCCCACCAGCTGCAGAAATCACAGCCCTGCAGAGATGCTCGTTGCAAGTCAGCGCTCAGAGCAAATTCTATTGGGGGAAGGGGCAGAAATCAAGAATAGGAAAATAACTCATCCAATTCAAAAGAAACAGCTCTGCAGTACAGCTGAATTGAGAACACGCCACAGGACAGCACACTACAGCAGCAGGTTGCAAGGGAGGTCATGGGACGACAGCGCGAACTGAAGGGGCTGGGGTTCAGGTTTCATACAACATGCGTAGCGTGTAGCTGACTGACAATATATTCCTGTAGTGCTTATTGTGCTGCTATCAACAATGCTATGCTTGAGGTTGTCCAGAGACAGCGAATGGTACCAAACCCGATCAGCATCAGTCTGAGAGCATCTTGACTCTCCTGCTATCAATAACAAATAAAACACCTCCAGACAATCATTAAAGCGCAGGATGAAGACAACGGTTCTTGTGCAGACTTGCAAAAAAACCCAAAGTTGGAAGACCTAACTGTTCCAGCTAATTTCAGTATTTGTGGTATTTTAAAGCAATAATCCTTGCACACATCAGCTAGTTGGTGGGAAGTATTTTCTCCCTTGGCTTCCCTCCTGCATGTGGCACGGCAAACAGTCGGCAACGGAAAGGCTAGTCTGAGGAGGGCCCAGGGGCTGCCCTCGGGGTTCAGCTAGTCACTATTACGCAGCTAGGATGTGAAGAGGAGGTAGTCACAAGCTTGAAACATGGGTGGGCTCCTACAGCAACAGAACGTGTGAGTTCCTCGGGCAAAAGGAACCACACGTGGCAGCTGAAAACAAACACGAACGAACCCAAATCTCTGTTTCCCTGCAAGCACAGAGTGGCTCCCTATTTCTCGTTATTGTTATTGTATTATTGGTGGATCTTCTCAGCAAAGGATGTACCACAATATTGCTCAAGTGTACCAACTCAGAACTAAAGCTCAAGCAGGACTTGCAGGATTACATCAGTGACACAGGCTTTGGCCTAATCACGACGACACAGATACCAGACTACAGTTACAACCCACACCAAAGCCAAACAGCTTTTTCATTATTGCAACTGAGGTATCGATATCACACAAGCAGAACGGGCCGATGCTCTGACACCAGCGCTCAAACCCCCCATGCCAGATGAGAGCATGGCCGGGCCCGGTGGCCGCACATCCCACTGGGAGATAAAGGAGCCACGAGCCGGCGGTGATGGGAGGAGCCACACGAGCGGAGGCTGGAGGAACACAGAGCATCACACACACAACAGGAAGGCTATCACGGCGTGCGTGAGACTAGTGAGAAAGAGGAACAGTCAGAGGGTAACTATTGCTTGACAGAATTACACACCAGGATAATTCAATGACTCCCAAAAAAAACCAAAGGAAGTGAATACAAAAGATCTGGGTTAGTTTTCAGGTGGAAGTGAGGATGGGGTGCAGAGGACACTTGGAGGAGGCAGAAGAGTGTTGCTGCCCTGGGACCAGAGGCATGTAGCAAGGCATGACTGTGCTGGAAGACGGACATCAGAGATCTACAGGGGCTTGGCAGAGGATGGGCTGTTTGGGGAGGTTCGGGCAGCGGCTCCCTTTAATCACTGGCAACATGGTTCTCATTTTGGAGGGTGTGCCAGCGTTCAATCTTCTTGTCCTTGTTCTTCAAGCATTCATACCAGTGTTTCAAGCGCTCCCCCTTAGCCGTAATGCCGAGCTGACAGCCGCCTGGAAGAAAGGGAGAAGCGACATTGTATTCAGAGATGATGCTGACGTTCCAGTAAATCACTTTCATGGGGACAGACCCCATGTTTGAGGCATTTCTCTCCACCTCCTGGATTTAAAATGTAGTGGAAACAACTAGAGCTGCTCTGCCTGCACAGAAGACCCCATGGGATGCTGGAGATGGGGCAGTACAGTGGGTGTAATGTATTTGATAGCCTGATACAAGCACCCAACCAACCTGCATGGTGCCACCTCAAAGCTCAGCCTGGGGTTCCTCACAGGGCAGGCAACCTACACACCCCTCCCGTACAGCGAGCACTGTATCGGGCATCGAAACCGCACCCCAGAGCACAGAGACTTGCAGCTCACCGATGTAATCATTCGATTTTCCGATGTCGTAATCCCAGACAGAAATGTCCAGTGACTTCTTGGCCAGATCACTGTGTTTTATATCATAGAAGAACTCCTGCGGAAGGAGAACACCTGCGTCATCCCAAGCATCCCAGGAAAATACAACCCAGAAAGCTGCAGTTAAGGAATTGCAAATGATCTCTCTGTACAGCCTGAATTCAAAATCCAGTGAGAGGATATTTAAAATACACTAATGAAGAGCAAATGCCCCTTCCCTGCAGCACCTCTCCTCCCAGGATCACCACATACTGCGTAAACCCATAAGCTGAGCTCACCCCTTGTGTCTAAGTGAGCACTTTGCAGGTGCCCCATCAAAGCAGCACCAGCCATGGGACACCCCCCGGGATGCTCGTCCCACCCACACCCCCTGGCCGGGGTGGCATGGAGTCGGCAACACAGGCAGCAGGGAGGTTTTGGTGCGTACCGGTGCTGCCTGGCACTGAACTGACGAGATCTCCCGTGGCAAAGTCATTCCTAAAATATTCCTGGGTGCAGAAAGGGGAAAGTGAGGAACCGAACCTCAGGGGGTTTGTCTTCCACCTCTTCTGTACAACATAGTAATTGGCTAAGTTGATTTAATAAAACAAAAATTAGATCTGTCCTTACCTCATTAAACTCAGGATTCAATGTTTTCTTCTTAATCTGTGTCTTGTGCTTGGCCTTTTTTCCCATGTCAGGTTTCAGCCAACTGGGGGCAACAGAAAACAGCTCAAAACTCAAGTGCAAGAACATTGTGAGTTTATAAACTAAAAAAGTGAGGTTTTGGGCTAGAAAAAAGCAACAAATATACTTAAGGCAAGGAAATGCGTTAGCCAGTCTCCCACCCCACCTTCTAAAATTATCTGAAATAAATGTAAAATGAGTAAAATCCTGATTTCCCCCCCCCTGATTGCCAGACAAGACACAGGAAACTGTAAAGACCTGCTTTGCGCAGAGTGCTGAGCTCAGCAGAAACCTTTCTGGGGGAGCATCTCTTGCTCAGATACCAGAAAGCAGCGAGCCTGCACATGCACTCTTGATGCCCTTCCAAACCACGCATTGGTCCCAAGTCTTTTTTCCCCAAGCCATGCTAAAAGAAATGGTTGTGGGCGTCTTACAGAGCAAAAGAGGGCGAGTTCTGCGTTTAGGTGGGGAGGAACCTGCCGAGGCCAACAGCGGGGAGCAGCTGAAACTGTCAGGGAATATGGAAAATAAGCAGCCGGGCTGGTCGCCAGCAGACGAGGGCAATTGCGCGGTCAGTCAACCGAGCCTGGCCGCTGGAAAACCCAGCCAAGAATGTGCAAACACATACAGAGATGGGGAGAAATATGAAAAAAAAAAAGCTAAAGATAGCCCATTAATGTTTAATACCACACAAACTAGCGTACTCAGCCAAGGCAGGTTCACCTAGAGAATGTGGGAAAAATTAGGGCTTGGGCTTTGCAGCCTGGCTGCAGACCCAGAACTGAGTTGTAGAGTTGGCATTAATTAGATCCGTGTTGGAAGTTGATTTAAAAATGGAAAGCCACCATCTTCTGTTTGTGGGAATGGAAAATATAAGAAAATAAGGGAGAGACTGAGAAGAAAAACTACTCAGTTCCACTCAGCTACAAGAAGATGTGCAAAATGTTCAACATGAGAGTTATTGAATGACTTTTAGAGAGAATAGAGGTTTTTTCTAAAGGCAAAGAGAAAACAGCAACGAAAACCCATCTGCAGCCACAACTGCAACGGGGAATGACTGCAGGGTCTTCTCCGTGTCACAGTTTATGAGGTTCGAGTTAAAATGATCTTATTCCCCCACGTTTGCAGGAGCGACTCGACAAGCGCCGCTCCCCCATCACCTGCCCCTCCAGCTGCAAGCACTGAGGGGTGCGCTGCCGCTCAAGGAGACCTGCTCCCCGTCGCAGCAAGGCATCGCCGGCACGAACTGCAGCAACCACCACTGTCTACATTAATTAAGCTGATTCATTTGCAGCGGAGACATGGCATGGGACAGGGACAGGCACAGCAGGGCGATCCCTGGGCTCCCAGCTACAACCAGCACATGGGCTCATGGGGCAGCAAGCGGGGCACGTGCTCCTCGTCACGCACGGAGGGACATCAAGCCCTCTCCACCCTGCAGGCATAGTGGGTCAAAGCCAGGGAGAAGGACCCCTCTCGACCTCCAGCTCTGCACCTATGGGGTGGCTGTTGGGTCTGTGCGTTTGGGAACCTATGGGAAGTGGATGGACCTAAGGGCTGGGTCAGTCTCACCTAGCTTCAGCCATGGCAGGGGCACTCAAGCAGAGCGTTACCACCTCGCACAGGCATTGTCGGTGGGCAGCTCAGTTGTGCACGAGGTCTCAAGGTGCTTGGGAAATGCTCTCCTCTCCCCAGTGGTTTTGGAAGGAGCATCAGAGCATCAGCTACTGCCCAAGGACAGTGGGTGGCTCCATGACCACCCGTTACCACACCAAGCCATCCCCCAGCTCCCACTTACAGTTTAACGAAAGGGTCTGAGTATCCGTTGGCATCCATGGCTGCTAAATGCACGCAGCGTACGATGCCAACAATCAAGCCGCCCTGCTGGGTGCTGTACATGAGGGACACGAGGATCTTCCCACGCTCCTCCACATCCCCACCACGATCTACCTGCAAGAGGAAGCGACCAGAGATGAGGACACAGGGGCTGAGTGAGGAAGATGGTCAACTCCAGAGCAGATGAGACAAGATGGATACAAGGGAACCTTGTATCCCCATGAGGGGGAAGAAAAAAGGGGGCTCGTACATGAGAGATGATGGGTGAATCGTGCATGGAGCATGTTGTCGTCCAAGGACTCTTACCTCCTCTTCGTACAGTGCCATCCCACGGGATGAGCCAGTCGTTCCAGCACGCTTCATCTTGGATGGGGAAGGGAAAAAGAGAGACTGCCATTAGTGACCACAGCTGGAAGAGGTACCATCCTATGGCAAAAACACCGCCGAGGAGCCCAGCCCAGCCCAGCTCTTTTGCTGGCATCAGGAGTGGAAGGGGGCTCAAGTACATTCATCTGCTCTATCAACCTCCACCTCAGCAGACCCAGCACCTCACCCAGAGCATTGGGGAGCAGAGCTCAGGGATGGAGCAACCTGTCCTCTCCTCCACAGTGACATACATCAGCATAGGCTGGCAATGCCAGCAGATCTGCGGCCACGAGGGAGATCCCTGGGGTCACTTCCCCTGGATTCCCACCACACTCTTATCTCCTGGCCTTGACCTGTCACATCAGCCCAGACGCCAGTGGGAATCCAACTCCTAAAGATGCCAGTGAAGTCAGGCACCTACCGCTCTTGGCTGGTTCCAGCTCCAAGCTCACCACTAGCTCCCTCACATGCCATTTGTTAGCAACCTCAACATTAATGGTAGCAGAAAGAAATTTCACAGAAACTCACCGGTATTACTCTCTCCAAGCAAATGTTGAAGTTCTTTTTCTGATTGGCTTTGAGTTTTTTCAAGGAAACTCTAGTTTCTCCAATAAACTCATTGTGGCCAAATTTGTCTTCATCACACACGGAGATCCTGAAGGGAACAGGAAAGGTGAACATCAGCCAGGCTGGAGCAGTACCTGACTCCGGAGCACAAAACCACTCCTGCAAGGGCACTGCTCAGGGGGTGGACAAAGCAAAGCACCATCGAAGCCTCCACCCATCTGGCTCTCCTCTGACCAAAAGCAGTCAGAAAGCCGAACTTCTGTTTTGCCAGAAAAAAAATCAACATTTTTAATATGCGCTCTGCAATGGGGCAAGAAATCAAAAGGTGGAAATTTCCTGTAGGAAAGAAATGCCAAAAGTTTTAGAGACACCTAAATGTTTTGCTGGAACACTGTCAAATCACGCACAGATATGCAATACTCAAATCTCTATACTGATAAGAATAATAGTAATGCCAATAATTTAATATTAAATGACAGGGTCAAAATGCCTTTCTTTCTCTTTTTAAAAAGGACCATCAAAATCAGCATGTTCATGTGAAGGATGTTGATTTTGACCAAAAACTCTGCATTTCCAGGTGCTCTATCAACACCTACACTTCACTGCCAGTGCCCTCCTGAGTGAGGAAGGCTGGCTTGCGATGCTCCGTGCAAGGAGACCCAGCGTCCCCATCCCACCATAACAGGGTGAGGTGTCAACCCCAGATCCTCTGCTTGCCTGAGGGTTTTCCTTTGCATGTCCTCATCTGTGATGCCGTGGTACACCAGGGTCTCATTCCACACGGGGTTACGGGTATTGCGCAGAGTCTTCGTTCTCAGCTTATTTGACTACAGCATCAAACCAAAAAACACGGCATAATTACACCCCTGAACTCCTCCCCACGTAAATTTAGGCTCCTGGCAGAGGAGTGTAAGTTAGATGCTCCATCACCTCTGGCTCACAAGAGGTGGTTTGACCGGAGCATGGAGGACTCTGCAGAACATCACCGCTGCCTGCCGAGGCTGTCACGCCAGCGAGCCATCAACTCCGGGTGAGCATCACTGACCTGACAAGGTGGACCTTCATGCAAGCACCGGGGACTCTGTCACCTGCAGTGGCCAGGGCAGCCTTCACCGCCCAGCTTTCTTCACTGTCTGGGGTCTACTCCCTCAAGGACACTTGTACGAGAAAAAGTTGCACAGGGCAGGCTGTGCGGGGCTTGGGTAACGGCTCTCATGGTCTAAAGGAGATGACAGCTTGGGAAATGAGGAGCTCTGTCACTTTTTCATGTGTCTTTCACAAACACGTGCAAAATAAAAAAAATAAAAGAAAGATCAGCAAGAGAGCAAGAAAAATCAAAGCAATTCCCAAGATCACAACACTTTGATTCACGCTGCACAGGACCAGAAAGTCCCCACACATAAAATAAACCTGTAAATATCAATCCAATGGTTTTATTATCAGTTTTTCCCCTTGTTTTACACTTAGTTCCTCTGGGCAAAACTCTGCTGCAGGAAAGAGCTTTGCAGCCCCCGAGCAAGGAGCCAGCACTGGTCATCCCTTCCTCAAAGGTTTCCCCGCCGAGATCAGCTTAGCTGGACTGGGGAGTGAGATTTCCAGAGCTTTCTTGGATGGGGGGAAGTTTACTCAGAGTTTATTCAATGGTTATTTCTTCACAGCTCTAATGAGAACATGCTGCAGCTTCAAAGCAAACTGATCTTTCAAACTCCGGTAATAATTGGATTTTTTTTGTCAGATGTTTTGCAATGCATTAACAGTGTCACCTCCTCTGGAGCTCCCCTCCATCCCTAAGCAGATCCCTGTCTGCAGGGTGAGCTGTTCCTCGGGTATGGGAACACATCTGCAAGCATCACCACTTTTCAGAGATACCTCCCAGGTAAAATAGCAGCAGTGAGCAACTGCATGGAGAAATCAAGGGGAGGAAGTCTGACACAAGGTAAGGACCTCAGGAGGATTTGAGAAACCTCTGCTGCATCTCCAGCCCAAAACGCACCCAAACCAGGCAAAGCCTCACCTTGCTGGCTCCAGGCAAGAGGTGCAGTTTGACGTAGGGATCTGCCAGGCCATTTGAGTCCATTGGTTTTAAGCCCTAAAAGATAATAAAGAAAACACGGTGCATGAATCCTCCTTAAGCAGAGCCGGGAAAGAGAAGAAGCTACTCGTGAAGCAACTCAGTAAAGAGAAAATGTGTTCAGCAAGCCAAGAGCCTCATTCTCCACCCCGAGCAGGTGTGGGTGCCACAATGCACTGAAACATCAGACCCACTTGAGGAAAAGCCCCACAGACCTCTCAGACCCACTCGAGAGAAAGCCCCACAGACCCTTCCTTCCCAGCCAGGAGCAGTGGTGCCAGCGGGGCTGGGCTGGGTCTCCCAGGGGAGCAGCCTCTGCCAGCAGCCACGCTGCTCCCAGCCCATCGCACCGGGGTAGCTGGGAGCCAGACAGGCTTAAGTCAGTCAAAGAAGGGGAAAAAGGGGACCGCTTACTTTGGCCTTGATGAGGGTGCAGTGCAGAGAGCTGTTCTCCTGGTCATAGAGCAGGCTGAACTCCAGCGCTCCCAGCGTAGCTGACAGTGAGATAGAGGAGGAGGAGTTGGAAATTAAAATCCCAGCCAATAACCGTGTTTAATAAGCCCTGATTAGTAGTAATTAGAAAGATTTGTCGTTCAAATGTAAAAGCCATTTAATGCACGTGAGGCTGTGCCGGCATTGGCCAAAGTGTCACACACAAATCCAGCCAGATTCACGAGCTCTGATCATCAAAGCTTTACAAAGCTGGAACTGCCCAGGATACAGGGAGGGCAGCCTGGGGCTTTTGAGCTGATTTTAATATTCACCAGGCAAAGGAGGAGGTAGAATCATAGAATCATTAAGGTTGGAAAAGACCTCTAAGATCATCGAGTCCAACTGTCAACCCAACATCACCATGCCCACTAAACCGTGTCCCTAAGCACCTCATCTACACATCTTTTAAATACCTCCAGGGATGGTGACTCAACCACTTCCCTGGGCAGCTTGCTCCAATGCTTAAGCACTCTTTCAGTAAAGAAATTTTTCCTCATGTCCAATCTAAACCTCCCCTGGCCCAACTTGAGGCCATTTCCTCTCGTCCTATCGCTTGTTAATTTGGGAGAAGAGACCGACCCCCACCTTGCTACAACCTCCTTTCAGGTAGTTGTAGAGAGCAATGAGGTCTCCCCGAGCCTCCTCTTCTCCAGACTAAACAGTCCCAGTTCCCTCAGCCACTCCTCATAAAGTAATGGTACAAATCCTTCTGTGGGCACAGCTCGGGGAGGCAATGCCACCCCAGGACCACCCTGAGAAGGTGTTTCAGCTTGGGTGGCCAGCGTCTCCTCCCAAGGCTTGGGGATCAGCATTTGGCCCTGTTTTGACCTGTTTGTAAACCAGCTCATGCTTGCCTTCACATGCTCACCAGGAAAAGATCTCAAGGATGAAGAGTTAGATGGACCCAGAACCTCAGCTGGGTCCATCTGCTCCTATCCAAGCACGATTTCCGCACCCGCTCCTGGCCCAGAGCGGCTCTTCCTGTCCTGGGTGGGAACAGGCTGGACAGGCAAAGCAATGCCCTCATGCAGCAAGCTCCCTTGTTAGGGGAGCAAATGACTGAAGACCGAGATCTCACAGTGTAAAGGTACTGAAGCCACCAAGCCTTTCCTACAGACAGGTCCAGTGGCGTTTCTCACAGCAAAGGATGCTCTGATAGAATGAGCCAGCCACCTTCAGGACTTGAATTTGGAAATGGAAAGGTCCTGTGAGCACAGAGCCTAAACCGGCACTCATCAGAGCTCAAGTAATTTGGTCAAGTAAATTGGATCAACTGAAGATCCCACAAGCTGCACTGAACTGACTGAGCAGGGACAGCCTGCGAGACCCTGCCTCGTCTCCGAGCCCCGCGGGGAAGCAGCATTCCCCGAGGACTCTCCCTGCCAGAGACCCATGACCTTACGGTGTGAGTCACAGTCCTGCAGCAACCACCTCCTGAAAATTCCAGGTTTCCCAAAGAAACCGCTCCCTCCCCTCCAGCCGGGTGCCCTGGGTACATACTGCCTTCATCAGAGTCATAGCTGTTGGCATCCTCCTCCTCTTCCTCCTGGGGTGGCTGCCGCAGCGGGGCGGCAGGGCCTGGCGGGGAGGCCGGGGGGCGGCGGGGCGCGCCTCCCGCCCCCGGCGGGG